ATTAGAGACTCCAATTTGGGATTTTTTCCCCCCTTGTTTTTAAAACAAAATCATTGTAAAGTATTTCCAACGGGCAGAAATGGATAAAGAATACCATCCAGGCATTCAAGAGCCAAACGCTTCCAGCCAGCGGGTGTCCCTCCAGGGCCTCCCCCTGCCAGCAATGACTGCCCAGCCCCGAATAGCCACCACAGTCCTGAAGGCATGCTGTCATTCTCCTGGGGTCACCATCTATCCATGTGCCCTTTAACCATACAACATGTAGACTTGAATGTTTTATAGCTCTGTAGAAATGACATCCAGCTGCTCTGTAACTTGCTTTTTCTCTCAGTTTAATGATTCAACGAAAAGATTTAGGACTGGAGGTAGATGAAGGTAGGCTACTTCAAGAAACATTTAAGGAGCGCTAGTCATGACACTAATAGTGGTCATTCATGTGCCAACTCTTCTCTAAGAGAGCTGACCTCTGAGATCTCATGTATTCTTCACTACGATGCTATGAGACAGAATTACTTTACCCATTTTGGCCAGTGATTGAGGCATGGCAACCTTACATAACAAGGTCACACAACCAGTGTGAACTCCGGATAGGACTCATGCAGGACTCAGGGGATGATCGGATGAGGGAAGTGGGGGGAGTCCCCAAAGCCTGTTCACTTTCCATCTCACCCTGCTGCCCCTGGAGCCAGGCCCTGTGTTGTCCCAGACATAGTGGGCCATACAGAGTGTGCGCCCCTGGTCCTGAAGTCCTACACCTTCCTTCTGCTCCCTGCAGGAAGGGAGCAGACTCCAGGTGGGGACAGGAATGTTGGGGCTTCCTCACGTCCTTCCAGCTTCAGCCACCCCACGCTGGCAGTACTCTCCTATCAGGCCCCCTTTGTGAGGCTGCCCAGCACCATGATAACAGCCTGCTGGACCTTCCCTGCCTTCTCATGGCTGTTAGGCCCTCTCCTTCTGGCCTTCTAGCTATGGGGGGCAACCAGTACTGTGCCCACTTGTCAGATCAGCAAACCGAGACCATCAAGATAGAACTGAGGAATGGGCGCAGGTTCCAGAATCAGGAAGGCCAGGTTGGAGTCCTGGCTCTGTGATGTCACAGCTGTGTGACCTTAGACAGACAACTCTACCTCTCTGAGCCTCAGTTCCCTCCTCTGCAAAATGGGCCTCCTTGCTTCTCCAGTGCAGAGAGAGGCTGAGAATGATGACACAGTGCTTCCCCAGTGCAGGGCCTGGCACGCAGCAAGCGCTCCATGGGGACAGCTGCTGTTCAGTTCTTGTTATTGAGCGCTAATGAGCCAGCACTTCGGCAACTGAGCTGGGCCTAGAACCCGGGGCTCTGGCACCAGGCCTAGCATACTTACACTGAACCCCACCCAGACTCCCAGCAGGGCGGAGCGTGGGTTTCCAGCCTCCATTTTCCTGCCCCATCAAGGGCTGAGTGGGGGTGTTGGCGTCATCAACGCCCCCCTCCATCTTGGGCCAGGGGCCCACTTGGCGTCAGGCTGGGTGCCCACGCACCACAGCCCATGCCCGTGGCAGATGGGAAGTGGGGGTGGGGGAGTCGTGTCCCTCTGATTCAGATGTAGGGATGAGGAAGGGCTCACACATGATGCAGTGAGCCCACCTCCTCCCTGGATGCCCAGAGCTGGTGGCTCTGATAAAGGAACAGCTTGTGTGCCACCCTCCCCCCGCCCGCCAAACCCGCTAGCCCGCACGTTTTCTCCTTGAAACAGCAGCTGTGTAAATAGCCCCGATGTCCTGTTCTTCCCAACAGGACTTCCTCTCTCTGAGAAGGGAGGACACTTTGCTAGAGAGAGAAGACATGGGCTTCAGGGGGATCAGCTTTGCCCAGCCCCATCATTGTAGACAATTCAAAAGGACATCTGCCTCAGTTTCCCATCTGTGAAATGGAGATACTGAGACCATCAACTTCAGCAAGCAGCTGTAAGGATTCAGGAATAAACATGTGTGAGGGCTCAGGACTGGCCTGGTGCATGGCCTCCAGTCAGTATTTGCTCCTCTGGCCTCAGGCTTGATGCAGAGAAGGGTGGGGGCAGGACAGACCCTGCTACTAAGGCCAGACCCTTCCGGCCCTGGGGTAGAATACACCCTATAAGCTAACTGCCTCAGCCCAAGGCTTCCTGAAAGTCCGGCCATCCCAGTGGTGGCTGGCCCTGTCACCCTGTAGGCTGTCTGTGGTCTCATGAAGGCTGTGCAGGTAGCAAGTGTCCCATTAGCTAGTGTAGTCAAGTCCCATGAAGACCTGTCACTTGTCACTTCCACTCTTTCCTCCCATCCTTCCATCTGTCCTGTCCCCATTTTATGGGAGAGAAAGCTGAGGCTTTGTAGTGAGTCCACTCCAAAACCAGGGTTTGTAGACACCTGGGCAGTTTCCGGAGCCCTCAGGATAGCAAAGACAGTATAATGGGGTGAGCCAGATATGCAGAGAGGCTCAACCGTGCACGCTGTGTCCACTTCACCCAGCCTGGTGGGCCCAGCAGGGATCTGCCTGGATGGGCGGCCGTGACCTTCCACATGGTGGGGGATAAAGGTGGTCAGAGCACTCCTCCCCCCATGGCTTCATGGGGTCCCTTTGCAGAGCCAGCTTGGACCTCAGTGACTTGCATCCCATTGTCCCTTCTCACAGCCTGGAATGGGGGGTTCATCCTCGAGCCCTTCCCACTGACAGCAGAAGCGGGTGCTGAGTATCAGCCAGCCCCAGGCCCCCATCCTGTGAAGCAACCTCACCTTTCCCTGGGAGCCGGCGGGACAGAGAGGGAGAAGTATTTACAGAGGGGCCACCAGGCAGTGCCTGGAGAAGCCTCATGGAAAGTGGGGGAGGGGGAAAGCCAGACTGTCAGACCCGGATCCCAGCTCTGCTGCTTGCTCCTGGCAATATCAGATGACTCATCACCCCAGGGTCCCTGCCCGTGAAGAGGGGACACTGTTGGCCCCTACAGTGCAGGTGTGTTGGGCGGATTCAGTGAGTGAGCATTGGTCAGGTGCCCTCTGGGACTCAGACCACAGCTGAGCACCACATTCCATCTCCTCACCTACCCGAATCATGCCCTGGGTACCTAACTGTGGACCAGACTTTGAGCCAGGCCCTTCCCCTATGTGCCATCATTTAATCATGACCACAGCCCTGCAATCTGGGCATTCCGGGCCCCCGTTTTATAGAAGAGGAGAAATGATCCCAGAGGGGTTACCCCACCTGCCCCATCCTTGGGGTGCAGTGGCACAGCTGAGTGTTGGTCCCTCCAACCCCTCAGCACAAGGTCACATTACCATCCATGATGGCAGTTCTCATGTCTCGAGTGCCAAGCATGGCAATGGCACCCCCCCCCCCCAGCACTTGGGCTCTGGAGACACACTTATCCTCTCATCATGTGGCTAGAAAAATAGGTGCAGAGGGGTTAAGGGATTTGCCCAGTGTCACCCAGCAAATGACCAGCAGGGCCAGGGCTAGCCCAGCGAGGATGGGGAGGGGCTCCATCCCTTCACAACTCAGGGCACTCAAAAAATGTGTTCTTGGTTTTCTGTCTTGTCTTCAGCCGTATTTTTACCTGGGGCAGTGCCTAGCACATAGTAGGTGCTCACTGAAGGTTTGCTCGGTGACTGAATCATGAGAATGCAATGAGCTCTTGTCTGGAGCCTAAGCCTGGGGGTAGGGAGCCGGGAGCTGAGCAGGAGCTTTCCAGGCCCTCGGGAGTGCAGAAGTCTGACAGGGGGGACCGTGGAGGGGGGTGAATCAGAGGGATGATGAAGGTTTAATTTGGCTCCTAGCAGCTCATTGAATTATGAATCTCCTACTGATGTTTCTGTGACGTGTCTGCCAGAGTCTGCCACCTCCAAGATTGTGGGTCTGTAGCCTTACCTGCCTTCCTGTAGCCCAGAAGGGGCTTCCTCTAGCAGGAGAGGGGGGAGGAGATTCTCTCACCTGCTCTTGTCCCAATACTCCTGCCCACTGGAGTCTTAAGACAGGCCAGATGGGGATGTCAGAGCCCACCCTGGAACATTCTGCCCTAGCCAGTAATTGCAATAAGCAGGCCCTGAGTCTTGGCATTGACCACCTGATCCTCCTCACAACCCTCCAGATAGGTGCAGTTGTCTCTTGAGTAAACAAGTTCAGAGAAGTCGAGGGATTTATCCAGGGTCACACAGCAGTGTGGCTCCTGAGCTGTCTTTGAACCCTTCGCGGTCTGACTCTAGGATATGTGATTTTAGCCACCTGCTCCCTGGAACAGCCAAACCATTGTGGTCCTATTCCAGAGGCCCTTATTTGTGCCCCGGGGCCCACCCAGTGCCACCCAGCCTTGCACCCAGTGCCATTTTTTTCTTTTTGAGTCAGGGTCTTACTCTGTTGCCCAGACTCGAGGGCAGTGGCACAATCACAGCTCACCACAGCCTTGACTTCTGAGCTCAGGCCATTCTTTCACCTCAGCTTCCTAAATATCTGGGACTACAGGCGTGTACCACCACACCTGGCTAATGTTTTGATTTCTTTGTTGTTTTTTTTTGGAGAGATGAGGTCTCACTATGTTGCCTAGGCTGGGCTCAAGCAAACCTCCCGCCTTGGCCTCCCAGAGTGCTAGGATTACAGGCATGAGCCACTATGCCTGGCCTCAGTGCCATTTTTAGAGAAGCTTGACGTGTGATTGAGCGATAACTGAGACAGGCCCTCCTTTACAGCTGGGAAGTGTTGCAGCTGGGAAGGACCCACCCGCTTTCACAGGGTTCCGGTGCCAGGCCCACACCCTGCCACAGGCTAAGAGGTCCTCACTGACAGGAAACAGCTCTGTGCACTGTTGTGCACCAGCACAGGGAACAGAGTCTGCCAGGCCCCAGGACACATCAGTTGCCTGTCATGGGCAGTGCCACCTCCCCCTTTGCATATGATGAAGCTGGGGCTCCCCTGGGGTCACTGAGCAGGGTCACTGAGTGGGCATCCCCTTCCTTCCCCCAAGTGACTCTCATGCCCTTCTCTGCCCTGTGAGCAGCAGGAGCTTCCAACCCGTGTGAACCTCTCGGCCGCCCCAGCCCCGGGCCCTGCCGCGCCCACCGCCCTGCACTCCAAGATGGACCAGCTGGAGGGCCAGCTGCTGGCCCAGGTGCTGGCACTGGAGAAGGAGCGTGCGGCCCTCGGTCACAGCAGCCGTCAGCAGCGGCAGGAGGTGGAGAAGGAGCTGGATGCCCTGCAGGGCCGTGTGGCCGAGCTGGAGCACGGTGGGTCTGGGCCCCGCAGAAAGCATTGGAGGCATCCTTGGGGTCACAGGTCTACTCGAAAAACACATCCCTGCTCTCCAGAGGCTAACACTGGAAGGGAGGTGGGAAAGCAGCTGTGGAAAACACAGTGAGGAAAATAATTGGGGGGTATTATTAGCATTATCAAAGTTATTATTGGCAGGTGCCATTTCCTGGCACTCACTGTGTCCTGGGAGTGGGCTGAGAACTCCACACCTCAGCTAGTTTAATCTTTACAATTTTCACACGTGAGGAAACTGAGGCTCAGAGAGGTCAAGTGAAGTCAAGGTCACACAGCCATTAAATGGTGGGTCTACACCACAAGCCAGGAATGACTCCACAGTCGCATTTCACCACCCACAAAATATCATCTTCAATGAATCAGCCAGAATTTTGTCATTTGCTTAGCACCTAGACCTGGCACTGCCCAGGGGTCAGAGGAACATCTTGCACAGTGTACAGGTATGAGCATGAGGAGGCTTGGTTCCTGGATCTACCTCTGTCACTGGCTTGCTCTGTGACCTTGGACTTCTTTTCCCCAGGCCTCAGTTTTCCTCATCTGAGAAAAGGGGGATTAGGATTCATGAGCTCTCAGGGACCTTTCAGCTTTGAAATCTTGTGAGGACCACCCTGAAGAGGCTTACAGACAAGCTGGGGAGAACAGGGGAAACTATGTGCCATTATGTGGGACCAGCTTAGATAGGGAATGGTTCAGGAACAGAAAATCCAAGTGGCCTCCTGGAGGAGGTGGGCTTCAAGCTAGTTCTTGAAAGCAGTGGTGGAGATCAAATTTCGAAGTGGAGGGGCTATAACAGGAGCCCAGCTGCAGGGGAGGAATGGGCCTGAGGGGCTCAGGGACAGCATCCTGGCTGGAGCACAGGGACAGGAGAAGCAGTCTCCTCAGTCCTGCCACCGGTCCCTCTACACCAGCTCTCCGAAGGGATCAGGGGAAACAAGTTTAGCCTGTTGAAGTCTCGTGGCTGGGAGGTGGTAGAGGCAGAATTTGAACTGAGAATTTGAACTGAGAACATCTTATGTCCAGAGCCCTTGAGCTTTAACCATACCCCTTAACACAAGGTGGAACACCTGGAACATAGCAGGTGCCAAGGAGCTGTTGGCCCTCATTCCAGAGTGTGCCCTATCCACCCCACCGGTCAGTGTCCACTGACCCCACCACGTCTGCCTCGCCCATCCTCAGGGTCCTCGGCCTACAGTCCTCCAGACGCCTTCAAGATCAGCATCCCCATCCGCAACAACTATATGTACGCCCGTGTGAGGAAGGCGTTGCCTGAGCTCTACGCATTCACCGCCTGCATGTGGCTGCGGTCCCGGTCGGGCAGCACCGGCCAGGGCACCCCCTTCTCCTACTCGGTGCCTGGGCAGGCCAACGAGATTGTGCTGCTGGAGGCAGGCCCCGACCCCATGGAGCTGCTGATCAACGACAAGGTGGGCAAGGCGGGGGGTGGGGAGGTGCTGGCCAGTGGGTGACGGCGACTTCCAGGAATGCCTGCTCCCACTGGGCCCAAACCTGGGTCAGCATTTCTCATTCTCCTGCTCAGCAAATTCGGCACACGTTAAGTGCCTACTGTGTGCCAGGCTGGATTCTGGGAATGCAAAGACAGTCTAGACATGGGGCTGGCTGAAGAGGGGTGTGTCCAACAGAGGAGGCAAGTGAGGCTCATTGGAGATTCAGCGATGGGACTCAGCTATGGGAGCAGGGCTGAGGTGTCCACTCCCAGGGTCCTGCTCTTTCTCTTGGACTAGAGAGGAGAGAGGGAGATGCAAGGACTACCTGGGGAGAGAGGGAGGGAGGGGGTGCTGGTGAACAGCTGTCCCTCTGCTCCCCTGGAGCCAACCCTTCTGTCCCTCCCTACTGTGGTGAGTAGAATGGTGCTATGCTCAGTCCCTGGGACCTACATGCTGGGTTTGAGTCCTGGTTCTGTATCTTAACCACTGTGTGACCTTAGACTAGCCATTTACCCACTCTGTGCCTCAGTTTCCTCATTTATAAAGCAGGAATGATAATAGCCCCTGCCTTGTAGGGTCATAGTGAGAAATAAGTGGCTTAGATACACGCAGAGGACTTTCAGCAGAGCCTAGTATTTAGCAAGCATTGATACCTGTGAGCTTTCCTTATGATGAGCACTGTGATAATAAGCAGTTTGCTCACGTTATCACCTTGACCTTCCCAGTGGTACTGGGAGGTAGGCATCCTCACTATCCCCATTTTGTGGATGAAGAAGCTGAGGCTCAGAGGGGCCACACAGCTGGCAAAGGGGTGATGTGCATTTTGGGGTCTTGGGCTCCAGAAACCACCTCTTCACCCCTTCCCTGTTCCGCCCCTGGACTGCCCATCTTCCTTGTGCCCAGACCTCCCACCCCCATGCCCCTCCCCCAGCTTGGCTGAGGGAAGGGACAAAGACAAGCCTTGGGTGAGAGGCACATGGCAGTGGCATGGTGATTGAGGGGAGAGGTAGGGGAGCATCTTATCACCCTCATTCTGCCCCCAGAGTACTTTCCCCTGTCTGCCACATTGCTATAGGCCTTGCAGACATGGTGGTCTGTGGAGATGCTCCTGGAAATCACATATTACACCCACCTATGACCAGCCCACAGCCACATAGAGTCACTAGGAGTGGCTGACAACACCCATCAGAACGCAGCTCAGCAGGTGCCACTCACGGGCATCCTGAAGGAGTAGAAAGGAAATGGGCCTAGGGGACAGTGACTTTCTCTTGTGGTTCATTAAACCCTGTGACCACCAGGGTAGCTGGACTACATCTAGATGCTGCTATCCCATTCCCCACATCGCTCCTAGGCTGTGGTTCTTGACCTGGCCCAAGTTCAGCACTCAGATCGCATGAGAAGGGATTCAGCACCCTGGACAGAGCACTACCCAGCCCTGATCCGGGAACATCTGGAGTCCTGCGAACCAGTCTCACAGACTGCGCCCTTGTCAGTCCATCCTCCAAGCCTCTGCTCCTGCTGTACCTGCTGCTTGGTTTGCCTAGCCATGGAACAGTCAGGTTCCATTGCCCCAGACGTGTTTCGACAACATGCCTTCTGTCCCTATACCCCCTCTTCCTCTGGGCCTCACTGCCTCTGTACCTCCCGTATGGTCCCTATGTTATTTTGTCTTGTAGTACTGTCCCTGGAGTCCTTCCCATATCCCCAGTGTCCACCAGGCCCAGCACCACATAGGCCTCAGAGAATGTTACATTAAATTGTAATCTCAGAGAACTTATGAGATGAAAGAGTCCTTTGGGAGCACCAAATCTACAGATAGCAAGTACATTTCATCTCACAGGCCAACTCTATTCAATCAGTGGTGGCTTCCCAGAGCACTATGATGGCAGAGTTGAGGCTGAGTCTAGGCTCATGATTGATTAGCCATGTCTTCCTTGGGTGGAGGAAAAGGCAGTGGCTGCATATTTGCCATCTCTTGTCTGAAACTGAGGCTCAGGGAGGAAGAGCAGCTTCCCCCAGGTCACACAAGGGGTTGTCAAGTGCAAAGCCAGGGCCAGATACCAGTGTCTGGCCTCTGAGTCCAAGGCTTCTTCTACCACTGCCAGTGCTTCTTAAGCCCCAGCTGTGTGCTGGGCCCTGATGAGATGTTGAGGGCTAGTAGGATTGTAAGATTCTGCTCCCATCCCCATGATCATATAGGCCTGTTAGAGAGTGAATAAGCTACCTAGAGACAACTGAAAAACACTGGAGAGTCCCTAGTGAAGCTGCTTGGTTCTGTGGGGAAGGAGGAGAGAGGAGTCAGGAAAAGATACTGGGCTGGGAAGGAGAGGGTCAGGCCTTAGGTCAGACCCTGGAAGGGAGGACCTGGATCTCCCACGCCCACCGCACTACTCCAGCTGTGGGTCTTGTGGCACCTCTGACCTGGGCTTTGGGGACCTGTGTCCAGGTGGCCCAGCTGCCTCTGAGCCTGAAGGACAATGACTGGCACCACATCTGCATCGCCTGGACCACGAGGGATGGCCTGTGGTCTGCCTACGAGGATGGGGAGCTGCAGGGCTCTGGTGAGAACCTGGCTGCCTGGCACCCCATCAAGCCTCATGGGATCCTTATCCTGGGCCAGGAGCAGGTAAGGCTCAGGCTAGTATTGGGGCTGGACCCCACCATTGTGCAGATAGGCAGAGTAAGGACCAGAGAGAGCAGAGACCTGCCCAAGGGACTAGTGCTTTGGGAATGGGCTAGTGCCTTGGGGGTGGGGCTAGAGCCTTGGAGAAGGACTAGAGCCTTAGGGGTGGGGCTTCAGTGGGGATAGGGGTCTGACTCTTGAGTCATCCTGCCTGCCTTCTCTGTTCCCTCACTCCATGTCTCTCTCCCTTCACTGCTGCTGTCTTGGCCCAGGATACCCTGGGCGGCCGGTTTGATGCCACCCAAGCCTTCGTCGGTGACATTGCCCAGTTTAACCTGTGGGACCACGCCTTGACACCTGCTCAGGTCCTGGGCATTGCCAACTGTACCGGGCCGCTGCTGGGCAACGTCCTTCCCTGGGAAGACAGGCTGGTGGAGGCCTTCGGGGGTGCAACGAAGGCCGCCTTTGATGTCTGCAAGGGGAGGGCCAAGGCATGAGGGGACACTTCGTCCAGGGCCCCTCCCTTGCCTGCCACTTTGGGCACCTCAAAGGGGAGCACATTCCCTCCTCGGCCTTCCCACACACTGGCTTTCCCTCCTGCCCCACTCCTGACCCTGCCTCCCGTTTCCCTTCACCTGTGCCCACACCTCCAGAATGCCCTGCCCTGGAAGTGTGTCCCCTAACCCCACCTGGATAGGGACGAGCATCCTAAGTCAACAGTTGGAGCCCACCCTCCTGGCATTGCACTGGAGTTGTCTCCCTGCCTGGCCCATCAGTCACTAGTCACCCATGATGTCACCTATCTCGATTGGCATCTCCCATGAAGTTGTGTAGGGGATGGCCACTATCTCAGTGGTGGGGGTGGCCATCTGCCCTCTGTTCCCTATGCAGCAGGCCTGGCCCCTTCCCCTTCAGAGCCACCACAGGCTATAGAAGGGGGTGACAGGGACACAGGAGGTCAGACTCACCCTCCTCCATCTTTCCATCCCAGCTGCCAGTCAAGGGCAACAAGATCCTGATGGCACCTCTCCAACCCCTCCCACACCTCCCCCTTCCTCCTCTCTCCTCCTTTCTTCGTGTACAGTGGTTTGAATGTTGGCTCCATGCCTGGCCCAGCCCCACCTCAGTTGTTAGGACATTCCCTTCCCAGCTCTAGCCCTGAGGGCTAGGGACCAAGACTCTGGGAGGTCAAAGGGCCACAGTCACCCCCTGTGCTCACCCAGAGCTGTGGTCACTGACACAGTCACCCCTCCCCCACTGTGCCAAGGACAGGACCTGGGCCACTTCAACCAGGCTGGGAACAGCTTAAGGCAGAGGCATCATGACTGGAGACCCTGCCTCTGGAGATATTGCCTACCTCCTGTGCATGGCTTTGGGGAAGGAAGGAAGAAGCTGAGAGGGTTAGGGAGAGTCATGGAGTGGTGGCCAGAGCACTTGGTTGAGAGGGAGGAGCCCTTGGTTCCCAGCCAGCCCTGCTGCTAGCCTGCTGTGTCCTTGCCCTCTCTGGGCCTGGACTTCTTCATTTGTGAGCTGAGGTCCTTCTCTGGTCATTTGCAAGAGCTCTCCAGATTGGGTGTGGGTGGTCTGTGACTCCAGATGGATAGGGTGGGGAAAGCCCGAGAACCCGCCTGGTGACCCTGGGCTTAGCAGGGCTAGGTCCTGGGACTGGGCAGCAGATGGGATCAGGATAGTCTTGGCTTAGGGTCAGCAGCTGGCTCCAGAGAAGGTCAAGGGAAGGGCAAGGTTCAAGGCAGACCAACCTCACACATGGGTTGTAAAAATCAGCTCCCTCTGGATCCCTCCAGCCTGGCGCCCATGACTGTCTGAGAATGTCTCAAAGGACTGATGGCTTCCTGGACTCTACCTTTGAGTGGTCACTAGCTCCTTCAAGAGACTGTAAGAGTGTCAGAGCTGAGAAAAGCCACCCAGTCTGAACTTTTGTGAGAGATGAGGAAGAGCTCAGAGAGCGCAAGTGACTTGCACAGGATCACACAGCACATTAAGGCAGAGCCAGGACTAGAACCCAGAGCATCTAACTCCTTCTTCAGTGCTTCCCCCCACCACACACACACACACACACCGTACCACTTTGTCCCTGAGGATCTTTGAGTTCAGCCTCCACCCAAGTAGTGGACATCTGAGAGGTCAGGATGCTTTCCAACTTGATGCCTGGAACACCCAGACATCTTGGGCCCCCCATCCACATGAAGTAGGGGATAGGAGGTTATGAATCCTGAATACTTTGGCAGAACAGAGAACCGGGTACACAGGTATCCCTCCTCCTTCCCCTGCTCATCACTTTGCAGGTGACTGAGCAGCTGCAGGTTCCCTAACTCAAGTGGAAACCCAAGCCCTCTTTTTGTTCCCCATCTCCGCTCCCCAAGGCCACATAGTCTGAGATGTGATACAAAAGCAGTGGGCCATAGGGCCCTATGCCATGAAAGTGTCTCCAAGCCTTGTCACCCCTGGCCCCCAAATCCTTGTTTCCATTCTGAGAGCACAAATGAATTGCTCAGCACCTGCGGCCCAACTCCCCCTGGAAGGAAGAGCAATGGTGGGTTTCAGCCAGACCTGCTGAGATCAGGTTGCCCTGGTAACAGCCAATGACATCAGCCCAAGTGCTGGGTCAAGTATCTCATCATAATGACACGCGCTGTTGCTGGGGTGACGGCAGAATTCGGGATGCAGGTTCCAGGGATGCTGAGCTTCATCTGTCCCCCTTATTGTATGGAAGGAGGTAGCTTTCGTAAAACTTGGAAGGACGATAGGGTCTCAGGGAGGGAGGTGACACCACTTGCTTGGTCACTCCAGCCCACCCAGACGTACCCTCCCAAGTCCTTTATGCTTCGTCCCAGCAACAATGAGGTATCTGACGTCTGAGCCTCGTTCCCAAGCTGAGTCACCCGGCCAGCCTTCCTGAGGGAACAGGGACAATTGGAGATGCTGGGGTGTGGGCTCTGAGTCTGGGTCATTGGCTACGACCCTGGCTCCTCATTTCCAAAGTCCCTGCCCCTCCTCCATCCATGTATCATTCTATGTACACTTCCTGAGCACCTGCTGTTTGGACTCCAGTTTCGATATCTTCTGCTGCCCCTGGGCACATCCAAGAAGACAGAAACAGAGGAGCTGGAAGTGGCACCCAGTCGTGTCCTGAGCTGCTCCTGGCTAATATTGATGACAGAGCCCAGGCTTTAAGTATCCAGCACTGCACAGAGCATGTCCTGGGCACCATCCTGTTTATCCTCACAACACAGGTGTAAGTTAGGACTGTCCCTCACCCCATTTTATAGGTGAGGAAACTGGGGCACAGAGAGGTGGCGTGACCTGTCTAGTGTCAATCAGCTAGAGAGTGACAGAGCCCAGATTTCAGACCAAAGTAGGTCACGTCCAGGGCCCACCCCTCAGCCTGAGGGGACGAGCACCCCCTAATCCTGTGTAGAGTGGGCTCTGGATGCTGTTGCCCCTGGTGTGTTTCAACCTAAAGGGATGTGCAAGACCCCATGCGGCTTGAGGTGGAGAAACAGAGGCAGGGAATAGGCCAGGGCCAGGGTCCCCTTGGGAATGTGTCCCTTCCACCATGTGTCCACAACCTCAGCCCTTCTCCTTCTCCCAGAGTTCCCAGGAGGGCTAAAAGGGAAAGGGAAGCTGAACAGCTCTCAAGAGTCCCAGGCCGGGAAGGGGAGGAGGGCTGCTGCTCCTCTAAGTGCTACTTGGGGCCAGGCCCTGCACCAGGTGCTTCCCAGCTGTTATCTGCCAGATCTTCCCACCTTTGAGGCATGTGGTGCTCCCACCAATGTCCCAAGGGGACATATCCCCTCACCACAACTCTGCATGACCTAGGACCACAGATTGGACAGGAAGGGCTCTTGGAGGAGGCCAAAGTTCCCATTTTACAGGTAAAGAAGCGGGGAGGGTGAGCAACCCTGAAGGCCACCCAGCTGGACACAGGAGATGTGATCCCAGCCTCTGACTGCATCTGGTTCTCTCCAGGACACAGTGGCCCCTCTTCCCAACACTGGATCCCTCCTCATCTATGTGTCCCAGCACCCTTGGCCTGAGTAACCTGGGGAAGGGGCCCCCTCCCAGAGATGGGATCACTCCCTTCACCCCTTTATTCCCACTGCCTGCCACTCCAGACTCCACCTCCCTCCCTGACCCCTGGGTGGGGAAGGGGCTCGCATGGGCCCAGGCTGAGTGTGAGTGAGCATGTCAGGTTGGCCAACACTGTGACATCAGTGCACCCTACTAACAACCACTCCCCGGTCACCCCCCTTCCTTCCCCTCTCCCTATTTTGTACATAAATTGACATGAGCTGCAACGTGCGTGTGTGTATGTATGTGTGCGCGTGTATGATCTGTGTCATGGTTTTTGTTACCTTTTTGTTTTTGTAAATTTGAATGTTCAAAATAAACATACTGTTTACTCTAAGGCTCTTCTTTGCAGGGGTGGGGCTATCCTGGGCAGGGGGTGGGGGGGGTTGCTGGGCAGGCAGAAAGGGACTATTAGGGTCAGGGTAATATAAAGGGCAGAGAAAGCGCCTGCCCCTGAACTTCCCTAAAGCCTCCCCCAACCCTAAATATGCCCCCAAACCTGAAGGTTCTGTCTGTTCCCAGGCTCAGGTGCACACTGGTTCCCGGGCCCGTGCAAGAAGGATGTAAAGAACACAGGTCCCACATGGAAAGTGTCCCAGTTCTGATAACTGGGCTTTGGCCTCATTCCCAACACCCCATCCACTTCTTGTGCCCCAGTTCTGGGATCCGAGTCCCTGACTTGTTTCCTGGGGCCCCGGGCTATCCGAGTCACCTGCCTGGACCCCCAGAGTGTTTCCTCCCTTGGGGTCCTAGGGAGATAGGGCAGGGGAGAGGGAAGGACCCTGTTGTATTTCGACAGCCCCCTCTCCACTCTCTACCCGGACCCCTCTGACATGTTTGGCTTCTAGACTGGACTCTCAGGCAGCACCAGGGTTGGCTACCCCACCCAACCCCTGCAGTGCCCACCCCATCCCTGGGAGGGTCTTGATCTGGTCCCCAGCCCTCACTGCTCACACCATCATAGGGACACAAAGCTTCATCCTCCTGCTGTCAATATCGTCACTGCTCTTGGTTGGACCTTGTCTTCAGATGACCCCTGTGACAAACCAGAGGGCTATTCAGAGGTCAAGGAGGTCACACCGGCAGGACAGAGCTTCCCAGACTTCCCAAAGCTTCCCAAACTTCCAACAAGAGCAGATTCACCCCACAAGGACCAGGGAGTTGGCAGAGCTGAAGTGACACTTCAAACGAGAAAACCATTTGAGGTCTGCTGAGTCCGAAAAATTCATGTGCTTTTTTTTTCATTCTATCTCAGAATGGATCCAGATTTGTTTTAAAATAAAAAATATTTTAATTACCACCGAACACAACTAAGCTGCAGGCAGCTACGCCTTGTTTATCCTCTCTCGTGCTGATTTACTTGCAAGCACCCTCTCTCCCTCTGCCCCACTCAGCTGGCAGTGTCCACACCTGGTGAAGTTCTGCTATCCACCTGCTTCATGCCAGCACCTGCACAGCTGAATGCTGATGCAGAAAAGCATGGGGGTTCTGTGCCTGTTGACTCTTGTTTTCAATTCATGGTGGGTGATCTCCAAGGGGCCTTTCACCCTGCCCTGCAGTCTTAGCACATCCCTGTATGATTGCCTGCTCTCCAAAATGTATCCTCCCTCTCCTCAAATCTACAGATTCCCACCCACCTCCAGCCCTGCACACTGCAAAGGTGACTTTACCTCCTAGTCCATAAGGAAACCATCCGTGCAGCCTCCCCCATCACCCCACCACTGAGTCTGCCCACAAACCTGCATTGGCTCTAGATTCTTTGGCTTCCCCCAGTCACTGAATGACTGTCTCTGCTCCTCTCAGAGGCACTGTGTCCTAGACCCTTCCATGTTACCTTCTCAACATTTCTCCTGAGTCGCCAGCTTACCCTCGTCTATGTTGTTATCCCAGTGGGCACACAAATCGGCCGGAGTATATTCCCGCCTTAAGCCAGCACCTTCCTGCAACTGTCATCATGTTTTCTCCTTTCTCTGCAAAACTTTGTGAAAAAGCAGGTGTGTCAAGGGTCCTCAAGATCACTCTCAGGTTTGATGACTTACTAGAAGGGCTCACAGAACTCAGAAAAGCTGTTAAACTCATGGTCTTAGTTGATTACATTGAAAGGATATAGATGAAAATCAGCAAAGGAAAAAGGTGCATAGGGCGGAATCCAGAAGAGACCAGGAACAAGATTCCAGTTGTTCTCTCCCAAAGTCCTGCAGACACACATCCCAGCAATGATGTGTGACACATGTACAGAAAATCACCGACCAGGGAAGCTTACCTGTTGGTCTGTACTGGGTCTGTACCAAGGGTCAGTCATGTCATGGGGTACCTGCATAAATGCCCATGACCACTCAGGCTTCACAACCCCCTCTCCAAAGCAGAGGCCCCTCTGGGACCTCCAGGCCCTCCAGTGATACAAACTGATAGTGTGACCCAGGGCCCCAGGCAAGTAAATGACTTTGTTCACATTTGCCATAAATGACTTTAGCATTATCTGGTATAGTCCAAGGTATACAAAGACATGCTTATCAGGCAGGATATTTCAGGAGCCTAGAGCTTATCTACCTGGAGCTGGTCAACCACTCCCTTCTTTGGAAAGTGCAGGGTTTGATCAGCCCGTCTGCTGAGTTAACCCTTCACTGCACAGCACATCTGCTGTCTTTACTGACACTTCTTCATGATCTCATTCACACCTTGGATAGATCCCATCAGGCTGCTGCTCCCACTCCCCACCACCACTCCACTGAGGTCTCTTGTCAAGGCCAGTATCAGTCTCCATGTTGCAAAAACTAATGGCCGGGCCTCTGTCCTCATCTTAGCCAAACCCTCAGTTGCGTTTGATACACAGATAACCACTCTTGCTTTCTTGAAAAATTTCTTCTCTTGTCTTCCAAAACACACACTCTCCTGGTTTTCCTTCTACCTCAGTGGTTCTCAGACTTTAGCCTCCTTTAAATCATAAAAAGCATGGGTTGCTGGGCCTTACCCCTAGAGTTTCTACGGCAGTAGATCTGGGGTGAGGCCCAAAAGTCTGAATCTCAAACACATGCCAGGTGATCCTATGGCTACTGGTCCTCGGAACACACTTTGAGAACATTTCACTGGCACTCTTTCCCAGGCTCCTTCTGATTCCTTCTCACCTCCTTGACCCCTAAGAGCTTCAGTAGCCCAGGGCATGGTCCTGGATCTCTTTATTCCTCTACCTACTCTCCCACTCAGAAAACATGGAAACACTGAACAACATCCATGTAAGACATCCAACATGTAAGACACTCAAACATGTAAGACATCCAAAGAAGGCATTAGATGTACCAAGACAAGGTAGAGTTGAGGGACAAAGACCTCAGAGAGAAGAGAAGATCACAAAGGTGAGCCTGACTTCTAGGGCTGCAGTTTTCCTCTTCACGACCCTGTCCACTTACAGCAAGTGGCTCAGTTGAGCAGCTGGTTAATGTTCAGAAAATTACGTGACATTTAGACCTAGAGCTTCCAGCTAAAAACTGGAATTCAGGATCAGGAGCTCTGGTAAATGACCCAGGCTTTCAGTGAGTTACACTCTCAGAGTAGGGAAGTATTCCAGCCCTCCCACAGATGGAATGCTGGCTTCCAAGCCTCTCGTTCATTGATTGAATTAAGGTGTCTGCCTCTTCACCAACAGCTTGCCAGAAACCAAGTAAATTCTCTGGAGGAAGAGAACAACATCATCCAAACTCTCACATTATATTTTTGTTACACAGATTTGGCATTCAAGTTTTTAAAAATCAGACATATCTGGAAACAAAAACTAAATGACTAAAAATTCAGAGAAAAAAAAAAATTTTTAAAGGCCAACAGACCTACACATGTGGTAAAATTGCCTAGAATGAAATCACACACACACACACAAAGACAAACAAATACACACATGAACACAAGGGAAACTAAAACTAGGGAAATCTGAATAAGATTGTATCAATGTCAATATCCAGGTTGTGATATTGTATTCTAGTTTTGCAGAATATTACCATGAGAGCTAACTTGGTAAAGAATGCATAGGATCTCTCTGTTTTCTTTCTCACAAATGAGTATGAATCTCCAGTTATCTTTTTTTTTTTTTTTTTTTTAGGTGTTCAGGGTCTCACTCTGTCACTCAGGCTGGAGTGCAGTGGCACACTCATGGCTCCCAGCAGCCTTGACCTCCCGGGCTCAGGCAATATTTCTGCCTCAGCTTCCCAAGTAGCTGAGACTTCAGGCAAGTACCACTATGCCCAGCTAAGTTTTCATTTTTTGGTAGTGATGGGGACTTGCTATGATGCTCAGGCTGGTTTCAAACTCCTGGGCTCAAGCGATCCACCTACCTTGGTCTTCCAAAGTACTGGAATTACAGGCATGAGCCACTGTGCTTGGCTTACAACTATCTTGAGATATATTTTTAAAAGGTCAAGGCCAGGCCTAGAATTTTGAGACCAGCCTGGGCAGCATAGTGAAAACTTGTCTCTACAGAAAATTAAATGAAATTAATGTTAGCTGGGTATGGTGGTGCACACCTGTAGTCCCAGCTTCTCAAGATGCTGAAGTGAAAGTTTCGTGTGAGCCCAGGAGGTTGAGGCTGCCATGAGCTATGATCATCATGATCATGCCACTGCACTCCAGCCTGGGTGACAGTGAGACCCTGAGTCAAATAAATAAATAAAAATATTTTAAAAGATCAAAATGGGAGATCCACACAGTGGAGTCATACGACATAGACTTGAAAATCATTACAGTTAATATATTCAGGACTTTAAATTAAAAATGAGATTTCAATTAAAAAAAGGAATCAAATGGAAGTTCTAGAACTGAAAAATACCTTAATCAAATTTATGAACTCAATAACAACAGATAACAGCAGATCACATAGAGATGAAGAAGGACTTTGTGAATTCTGTTAGAGAGATCAAAAGAAATGATCTGAGGGAAAAGAGTGGAAAGTATGGAGAAAAGTATCACATTAATATGGACATAGTAAGAAGGCCTAACACGTAAGGAGCCCCAGAAGTGGAGGACACAATTAGGGTAGAAATAATATTTGAACAGTAAATATCTAGAATTTCCCCCAAACTGTCAACAGACAGTAAGTCACATATTCAAGAATCTCAGGGAATCCCAAGCATGAGAAATGCAAAGGAAATCACAACTAGGTCCCTGAAAGTGAAGCAGTTATAAATCAAGAACAGGTTGGGTTCAGTGGCTCAGCATGTAATATCAGCTCTTTGGGAGGCCGAGGCGAGAGGATTGCCTGAGCCTGGGGGTTCGAGACCAGCCTGGGCAACTTGGTGAGACCTCGTCTCTACAATAAATCACAAAAACTAGTCGGACATGGTGGCATGTGTC